TTATGACTGTTGGAGATCATATACAAAATAAGATTTGGGGAAACAGGGCCTCGCACTGCTGTAACCCATTCTCATCAAGCTCCACCCAAAGAATTGTGGGACTCTTATGTTGACTCTTAAAAATTAATAGTAGATTCAGATATTTCCCACAACAGACATATATTGCCAGTGCAATTTAAAAAAAAATATTTGATTAGAAATTGTTCTTATATTTACTGGACAACTTAATAAAATGAACAAGTAAAGGCATCTGCATAATATGCATCTTAAATGTGTCATATTGGGTGTACAGCAATACACAATAAAGCGCTATATAAATGCATCATTCATTCATTCAATGAGCATCTGAGATCTTTAGATCCACTTGTTGGATGTTTTGATCAGCTTTGCCTGAAAGGTGTGAGATAACCGATGCTTTTGCCACTGCCAAAGCTCCATGTTGATAGATTGTGATAAAGAACTCAGGTTTTGATCCAGCATACTGTTTGTATGACTGTGCATTCAGCACTCTTCCAGTGAATCATTTGTAACTACAGGATATGGTTACATTTTCACCTACAACAGTGCTCATAAATGGTGATAGTGGGAAGATTGCATTTGCCACTGAGCAACCTAACGAATAAATAGCTTGGTTAGGGAAGAGTAATGAAATAAAATGTGGGGCTGCAACAACTAATCGATAAAATCGATTATTATCGATAATGAAAATCATCGACAACAATTCTCATTATCGATTAGTCACGTCTGCCCACAGTGCACGTCCAACTTCAGTCGGTCGCATCAAATTACAGCACTGAATAACGCATTTCTATGGACAAAATGCATCTAAAAATAGTGGAGGAAACAGAATGAGCTCCTGCAGGAAAAGTATGTGATCCAAGCTGCCCAAAACATGAGAAATCTTTGTTTTAAGCTTCAAGCTGATGCATTAGCTTAATGACTTGCCCTATCAGGTGCTTTGATAGATACGTGTGTGCGTCCTCAGCGCAAAAAACTTCCAGTTAACGGTCATATCCTTATCTGTAAATGTCACAAATTCACGCAAGCCTTCCCATTTTTGCATAATGTTTTGCAAACATTCATTGTGCTGAAATATCTGTTGTTGAACATTAAATTTAGGTTTAAAAGTCAACATGCAGTGCGAGTAATTTATGAGAGTAGGAACTGTTAAGAAACAGCAGCGTGTAATTGTCTGAAATAAATAGTCCTCCAATATGCGTAAGCTCTTTAGTAACAGTAGTAGGCTATTTCTAATGCTATGATATAATGATTGCTGTTATCTATGAAAGACAGGCAGAAAAAATAGTCAAGTGCTTTATAGTGTTTTTTTATTCAGATACCCAATTAGTCAAAAAGTACATAAACAATGCCAAAAAGCATGCAAGCTGTTATCAAAGGCAAAGGAGGCCATTTTTGTTATTAACTAATAAGTGTGAAGATAAACATAATGGTTGATATATTGGATGTCAAAATGATGACTGTATCTCGGAGACCAGGGCCTGTCTCTTTAGTAGATATTTATCAACATGTTTTTCTTTTATGGCTTTTGCCACTAGATTTACAAGTAACAGTCTAATCTCAAGAAATACATGATAGAGAAAACTATATGTTTGCTGCAGCAAACCTCAGGGCATGTAGACATGCTCATTTGTTTTTACCTGATACCACTTCAACACAATTTAAAACTGCTTGACCTTCTGCTAAGCTTTCTGGTTATGTCCATTGTGTGGCTGCAGCATTGTGCAAATATATTTTTAGAGCATCATACAATAAAGACACTGTCATATAAAGGTTTCATTTGTTGTTTAGTGTAGTTCATCAGGTTGTTAATTTAGTTGTTTTCCCCTTCATTTTGTACAGTGTTGATGTGTTTCCTGTCACTGTGGGCTGCAGGGCACAGTAGTACAGTGCAGAGTCTGATACTGAAGCAGAGGACATCTTCAGAGCCACACGGTTTTTCTCTTCATTTATTTTAGCAGACACCGCTACGTTTCCGGGCGGTAACTGAGAGAAGCGCTCGCCGGAGACTGCTGCGCCCTGGAGCACGGCAGGGTTGGCAAACCGACCTCCTGAGGGCACTGAGGAGAGACGGGCACCGTGTAATGCGGTGTACACCGCTCTTCCCCAGAGGGAGCTGGCCCTAAAAAAGTCCTAGGCCTCAGCGTCAGGACATTTATGACGAAGACTATCCAGCGAGTATGATGGTCGTCTTTCTTCATCCTCTCAGGTTTTTGTACAGTGTTGAAGGGTTTCCTGTTACTGTGGGCACCAGGGCACAGTAGTATATTGCAGGATCTGACACTTCAGTTTTGGAGATCTCCAAGTTCAGTAGTTTTTTGTCCTTTTGTGCTTCAGCAACATGACGGTCCTTCTTTTCTGGACCCAAATTTTCCAAAGCTTGCAACAGAAATTCAGGGGCAGTGTTGGGATACTCTCTGTACCACTGCCAACTCTGTATGTTACTTCCACTGTAGTTGCATGAAAGAGTTGCCTTTCCTCCTTCAAAAGCATGATTTTCAGTAGAGAAGGGTGTTATTGCATTTGCAGAAACACTCTCTGGGAAAATATAAGCAACACACTATCAATAATAATAGTGCACCTTCAGTAAATGTATCTGTTTATTCATATTTTTTGTAGGAGTATATAGTCTCCTAGCAAATATAGATATATTAACTATGTAAATATCAAATTTTACCTGTTAGAAGTGCCAAAATGTTAAGGTAAAACAAAATCATTATGACTGTGGGAGATCATCTGTAAAATGAGATTTGGAGAAACACAGGACTGCCTTCTGCTGTACTCATTCTCATCAAGCTCCACCCAAAGGATTGTGGGACCCTCTGTTGATTCTTTAAAATAAATAGTGGATACAGATATTTCCCACAATAGAAGTATGAGGAAAGTGTCTGTCATTGTAAAATGTAATTAAAAAATCCTATCAATTTTTGAAGTGTATTATGCATTTTATTTTCTTATATTTACAGTTAATTACAAACAACTCATTAAAAATAACAAGTAAAGTCATCCACATAATCTTAAATATGTAATAAGGGCTTCTGTAAATTGAGGATTGTGTAGATGCACTACCTGCTTAGTTTGTAAAAGAAAAATGTTATTGATATAATTTATTAGCACTTAATTTGTTATATGTAAGATTTTAGGATCAAAAGAATATTTCATCTCCAAAAGAAAAGAGGAAAATGTTTTAACTGTCACATGAAAGGCCTTCATTCTAAAGTATATTATGTTTTTGTATAGGAACCTCTAAGTTTCCTGTGACTGTGGTCACCAGTGCGCAGTAGTACACAGCTGAATATTTCCATGTAAGGTATAACAACGTGAGATTCACTATTTGGAGATCTTGATCAACTTTGCCTAAAAAGAATGGTAATGTGGTTGGAGTTGCTACTGCCGAACCTCCATGTTGATAGATTCTAACAAAGAACTCAGGTTTTGATCCGGCATATTGTCTGTACCACTCCACACTTAGCACGCTTCCAGTGAATCCTTTGTAACTACAAGATAGGGTTACATTTCCATCAACAACAGCGCTTGTAATAGGTGATAGTGGGAAGATGGCATTTGCCTCTGTGTCACCTAACAAAATAAAAAAAGCTTGGTTAGGGAAGCAGCTTGATGGGAGTAATGAAATACATTACATTTAATAAGATTTCTATTCAATTCAAAATGATTTATATTAATTTAGAGGAATTAAAAATATGTTTGCATGAGTTCATTTGGAGAAACACAGGACTGCCTTCTGCTGTACTCATTCTCATCAAGCTCCACCCAAAGGATTGTGGGACCCTCTGTTGATTCTTTAAAATAAATAGTGGATACAGATATTTCCCACAATAGAAGTATGAGGAAAGTGTCTGTCATTGTAAAATGTAATTAAAAAATCCTATCAATTTTTGAAGTGTATTATGCATTTTATTTTCTTATATTTACAGTTAATTACAAACAACTCATTAAAAATAACAAGTAAAGTCATCCACATAATCTTAAATATGTAATAAGGGCTTCTGTAAATTGAGGATTGTGTAGATGCACTACCTGCTTAGTTTGTAAAAGAAAAATGTTATTGATATAATTTATTAGCACTTAATTTGTTATATGTAAGATTTTAGGATCAAAAGAATATTTCATCTCCAAAAGAAAAGAGGAAAATGTTTTAACTGTCACATGAAAGGCCTTCATTCTAAAGTATATTATGTTTTTGTATAGGAACCTCTAAGTTTCCTGTGACTGTGGTCACCAGTGCGCAGTAGTACACAGCTGAATGTTTCCAAGTAAGGTATAACAACGTGAGATTCACTATTTGGAGATCTTGATCAACTTTGCCTAAAAAGTGTGGTAATGTGGTTGGAGCTGCCCCTGCCAAATGTCCATGTTGGAAGATTCTAATAAAGAACTCAGGTTTTGATCCGGCATATTGTCTGTACCACTCCACACTTAGTGCGTTTCCAGTGAATCCTTTGTAACTACAAGATAGGGTTACATTTCCATCAACAACAGCGCTTGTAATAGGTGATAGTGGGAAGATGGCATTTGCCTCTGTGTCACCTAACAAAATAAAAAAAGCTTGGTTAGGGAAGCAGCTTGATGGGAGTAATGAAATACATTACATTTAATAAGATTTCTATTCAATTCAAAATGATTTATATTAATTCAGAGGAATTAAAAATATGTTTGCGTGAGTTAATCTCACCCAGATTAATCCATAAAATAGTGAGAGTGAGGATAAACATAATGGTTGATGTATTGGATGCTAAAATCAAGCTGTCTGTTTCACCTCCACGTTTGTAAGATCCATTCAGAGACACAAAGCTCCACCCTCTGAGTCAGATAGATTAGTACAGATTAGTACAGTATTATTTCCTTGTCCTCTGTTTTTGAGACCAGGGTCTGTGTCTTTATACAGTAGATATTTATCAACACGGTTTTTCTTTTGTAACTTTTGCTAATAGGTGAAAAAGCATCAGTATTGCCAATAGATTTATATGTAACACAAGAAATACATGATATGAGAAATTTATATGTTTGCTACAGCAAAATTCAGAGCTTTTAGACATGTACATTTGTTTTTACCTGAAACCGCTTAAACACAATTTAAAACTGCTTGACCTTCTGCTTTCTGGTTATGTACACTTTGTGGTTGCAGCATTGTGCAAATATATTTTTAGAGCATAATAAAGACAGTCATATAAAGGTTTAATACACTATTTATTGTAGTTCCTCAGGTTTTTCGTTTAATTGTTTTCCCCTAAATTTTAAATCAAATGTTACACCAATTGATGATTCAAATCTTCTGTAATCTGAGTGAACACTTCCATCTGTTGTGCATTTCATGCTATCACTTTACTGACTATTAATTAGTTTGTTTTACTAATTACAGTAGCTATTTAGGGACTAGTAGTCTGACTGATGTAGAAGGTATATTTGATTTTAGATACTGTTGACTTTATACAGTTTATGTTTGTGCTATATAGATGAATCTGCTGACAAAGCTACAGTGTGTTATGAGATATAAAACTGGAAATAATGCCGCTATGTGTCTGCAGTAATTAATTTGAATTAATCCGCTGTGAGAGAAACAATGTAATTATTGATAATACAGCATATTTAGTTGGACATTTGCAAGGTTCTTTATTGGCATTAAATGTTCTTTATGGTCGAAAAAGATTATTCTAATATTCTTTTATTTTAAAAATGGTTCTTTTAAGAACTGTTCACTGAGAAGTTCTTTGGGGAATCCAAAAATGGTTCTTTCTTTCTTTCTTTCTTTCTTGTCTGTGTATTCTTCATCCTCTCAGGTTTTTGTGCAGTGTCGAAGGGTTTCCTGTTACTGTGGGCACCAGGGCACAGTAGTATATTGCAGCATCTTCCACTTCAGTTTTAGGGATCTCCAGGTTCAGATGTTTTTTGTTCTTTTGTGCTTCAGCAACATAACGGTCCTTCTGCTCTGGACCCAAACTTTCAAAAGCTTGCAAGAGGAATTCAGGGGCAGTGTTGGGATACTCTCTGTACCACTGCCAACTCTGTATGTTACTTCCACTGTAGTTGCATGAAAGAATCGCCTTTTCTCCTTCGAAAGCATGATTTTCAGTAGAGAGGGATGTTATTGCATCTGCAAAAACACTCTCTGTGTAAATGTAAACAACAGAAGATCAATAATAATAGTGCGCCTTCAGAAATTATCTGTTTTTTAATATATTTTTCTAGGGGTGTATAGTCTCCTAGCAAATATACATATATTAACACATGTAAATATCAAAATTACATACCCATTAGAAGTGCCAAAACATTAAGGTAAAAGCAAAATTCAGAGCTTTTAGACATGTACATTTGTTTTTACCTGAAACCGCTTAAACACAATTTAAAACTGCTTGACCTTCTGCTTTCTGGTTATGTACACTTTGTGGTTGCAGCATTGTGCAAATATATTTTTAGAGCATAATAAAGACAGTCATATAAAGGTTTAATACACTATTTATTGTAGTTCCTCAGGTTTTTCGTTTAATTGTTTTCCCCTAAATTTTAAATCAAATGTTACACCAATTGATGATTCAAATCTTCTGTAATCTGAGTGAACACTGCCATCTGTTGTGCATTTCATGCTATCACTTTACTGACTATTAATTAGTTTGTATTCCTAATTACAGTAGCTATTTAGGGACTAGTAGTCTGACTGATGTAGAAGGTATATTTGATTTTAGATACTGTTGACTTTATACAGTTTATGTTTGTGCTATATAGATGAATCTGCTGACAAAGCTACAGTGTGTTATGAGATATAAAACTGGAAATAATGCCGCTATGTGTCTGCAGTAATTAATTTGAATTAATCCGCTGTGAGAGAAACAATGTAATTATTGATAATACAGCATATTTAGTTGGACATTTGCAAGGTTCTTTATTGGCATTAAATGTTCTTTATGGTCGAAAAAGATTATTCTAATATTCTTTTATTTTAAAAATGGTTCTTTTAAGAACTGTTCACTGAGAAGTTCTTTGGGGAATCCAAAAATGGTTCTTTCTTTCTTTCTTTCTTTCTTGTCTGTGTATTCTTCATCCTCTCAGGTTTTTGTGCAGTGTCGAAGGGTTTCCTGTTACTGTGGGCACCAGGGCACAGTAGTATATTGCAGCATCTTCCACTTCAGTTTTAGGGATCTCCAGGTTCAGATGTTTTTTGTTCTTTTGTGCTTCAGCAACATAACGGTCCTTCTGCTCTGGACCCAAACTTTCAAAAGCTTGCAAGAGGAATTCAGGGGCAGTGTTGGGATACTCTCTGTACCACTGCCAACTCTGTATGTTACTTCCACTGTAGTTGCATGAAAGAATCGCCTTTTCTCCTTCGAAAGCATGATTTTCAGTAGAGAGGGATGTTATTGCATCTGCAAAAACACTCTCTGTGTAAATGTAAACAACAGAAGATCAATAATAATAGTGCGCCTTCAGAAATTATCTGTTTTTTAATATATTTTTCTAGGGGTGTATAGTCTCCTAGCAAATATACATATATTAACACATGTAAATATCAAAATTACATACCCATTAGAAGTGCCAAAACATTAAGGTAAAACAAAATCATTATGACTGTGGGAGATCATCGGCAAAATGAGATTTGGAGAAACACAGGACAGCCTTCTGCTGTACTCATTCTCATCAAGCTCCACCCAAAGGATTGTGGGACCTTCTGTTGATTCTTCGAAATTATTAGTGATATTTCCCA